GGTCAATGGAAAAGCATTGGAACAGCCACGAGAATCGACAGCTTTCGCGGGTCGTTAAACGTGAAATACTTCCTCGCTACCACCAGAATACGTGGTTCCTCGATCAAAAGATCGTGATCGATGCATTAACAATTAGAATCAGGCAGTAGATCAATATTTTGGAATAATTTTGTGTTCTCTTAAACTACGTTTACGTTAAACAACTGCTTGTTAAATTACTGAATTGATCGATGTTAACGATGTTCGTTCTTAGTTGCTTGTGTAAATTAATAATCCAGTTGAAATGAATTTTGATCGTAAATCAGAAGTAACTTATCTAATTTTGATTAATAGATTTGATCGATAGTTGTCTAAATGTAAATATTTATAATAAAACATTACAAATTGAAAATTGATGTATAAAATTAATTTAATTTTAAATTCTTTATATTTAGTTTTAATTAATTTTAATTGGCAGAAATTAGATTCCTTAAAAAACTGTATTTTTTATGTTTTTTTTCTTCTTTTTTATATCTATTTACATTATAAATATTTGTTTTGATATTGAAATATTTCTATTGAATTATATTAAAAATCGTCAATTTGATTTAAGTACTATTATTTTTATTTTTATTTTTTTAGCATTTATGTATATTAGATTGATAAAAAAATATATTTAAAAAGATAGAAGAAAGTAAAAATTATATCAATGTAGTGTCTTTGGTAAAAATAATATTGCAATATACTTTTAAAAATTAGTAAACAAAAAAAAAAAGAATTGATATACAAAAATATAACATCAAATATAGTTTTTAATTTTTTTTTCGCAAATATTAAAACTGAATTTTGTTTTTATTTATTTTTGTGTATTGGAATTAATAATAAGACACATAAGAAAATATGTGATTATAATGTAATATAAGTGATATCCAGATCGAATATTATTTCTCTCTGCACAAGAATAGGAAATATAGAATGCAAGTGAAATAAAGATAAATATTTGTCAGTAATTTGATTAGATGTTTAATAATCTGAAATTCAAATTAATTCAAGTATCATTAATACTTCGGACTTGTTTATATATATGTAAATAATTAAAAAAGCATTATGCATATAAAAACATATGCAATCTTTTTAATTCGAAATCTTATAGAACTATGTTTTGATTTTTTTCTATGGATTTCGATAAATATAGCAAGTTGAATGAAATATAATAATTCATTTATTTTTAAATATAATTCCAAATATTGTGAAATTTAGTATGATTTGTCCGAGATAAGTTTCTAATAAATATATAAATAACAAAAGATTACATAGATTTCAATTTGCATAATAAAATTTTTTTTTAAACTATATAAAAATGTTGCATAATTACATTACACGATATTTATGTACATTGTATATTACCTTACACTGAAATTTATTTGAAACTAATTGTATATAAAAAAATATCAATGTATTTACTTTTATTGAGAGGCTCCAATACTATTGCACATCGAGTTCTCGCTCTTTCTCCATCTCACTTTATTTAATACAAATTTAAGATGCTTATAACTCGTTAATTAAACTTTTATAGGACACATATGTATGAACTTTTTTCATTGTTTTGATATTTAGAATCTATTCTTCAAAAATGTCGCATATTTTTATGAACACCTTATAATTATATTGTATATATTGATAATATTATATTAAAAAAGTATAATATGTGTTATTTTTTAATTATATTGAATAATTTCTGAAGTTTGATAAATAATAAAATTTAAACTAAATTAGATGCTGGGATTAGAATGCTCAGATTGGATTATGCTCTTTTAAATTGTTTAAGTTTTAAATTATAAATATAAATATTTGTTGAGATAATTAAACGATAATTTAAATTTAATTTATTGAATATTTTTTTTTAAATTAAATGAAAACTTATTCAAAAATTAAGCGTGAAATATATTTTACTTCTTTTGAGAAAATAAAATATTATTTTAACAGAGTATTTTTTATTGTATACTTAAAATATTTATTTTCAATTGTATATAATTATATAATTGTATATTTAATTGTATATTTAATGTATATTTTATTATAATTATATTTCGTATTCAAAGTATCTAGAATAAGAAATCTATATTAATAGCGAACTACAGTTAGTTTTCTCTACCGTAATATGTTTGATTAGGAAAGTAGCACAATGTTCTATTTTGTAACTCGAGCAATATTGTTTTATTTTAATTCCTATCAATGTTCAATGAATATGGGTTAAACAACTATATCAGTTTACGAACAATCTTAATATAAATAGACTTGCAATAGTGATACATATATGTATAAATTATTTCTTTCAAAAATATACTTAATATTATCATATTTAATATATCTAAAAAATTAAGAATATTTATTCTCTTTCAATCGTAATGAATTCCTCGAATAGATGAATGATTTTCAAATTTATAGTAATTAATTTTAACAGTAATTATTAAAAATAATTATTTATTCATTTTAATGCTGTTAAAAATATGTTGTCAATATTTTTAATTTTGAAAAACTTTTTTCTATATATATATATATATATATAAGCACTGTTCATTTTCGAAATATATACAAAAATGTTTGCGATATTATATATAATTACCCAAAAATTATCCAAAGTTTGGAATAGATGAATTTAACATAAATTTAGATATTGAAATGTATTTAAATTAAATTCCTAATAAATTTCTAAATTGGTTAGATTTAAATTAAACTAAATTATATAATTACTATCCTATATATAATACTAACCTTTATTTTCATTCTGTTATTCTTTTGCCAATTCTTCTTTGTATTGAAGAATTTAACCATAAATAGATGAACATTATTGTTATCACTAACCAGAAGCGAAAGTTTGTTTTCATTGAATAGACACGATTCTCGAAACGAATCGAAAAAAAAATGGAGAACGAAGTGGCTACACAGCCTTCTTCTTCTCCCGAATCATCAGATCGGAAGTGTTTCGAACATCGAGGATCGGTCGGAAGGTCATAGGTCAGCCTTCGAACGTGCCTTGAAAATAGAACGTGGTCACGTGGTTGGTACCGGTTTAGACTGTTTCTATTTCAATTATCGTCGCGACCGGGCAATTTGCTGGCGTTTAATCGATGCCGAATCGCCGCTGCTCGCTTCGGGCCCAGATTATAATTCTTCCGCGTGTATACACGTATGCATGTATATGTGAGGGATAGAACGAAGTGAAACGAAGCGCGTGCGCGATCATCGAAGATCTAGATCGGAACTTTCCAGCCGCTCGTTCAGGAATGTTGATTAACGTGTTAATTAAGCGGCGCCCTGGATGGAAAAATGATGACTGGTAAAAACGAGATGAAAATTTATTTTTTTAACATGAGTTTCGTTCTCTCGTAATAAATTCTCTTTTTCGATGTATGGCTAGATAGTTGAAAATAACTAGAAATTAATTAACGAATTTTACTTGTGTTATCTACGTAGTATTTTACTTTCGAAATTCTTTAATAGGAAATTGAATTATTTTTTACATTTTTATAAAATTATAATTAAGGAAACGACATATTTCTTGTTGTAGTTGTCTTCTTGATGTAGTTCTAATATATATAATTCTATGTATATTTCTTATATTTGAAAATATTTCTTTTATGGATATTTAAAAATATTGATAAGAATGAAGATAATAAATAAAAAAAAAGTAATAATAAAATGAATGAAATTAAATACGAGTTTTTATAGGAGAGAAAAGCAGGAAATATTTTTTGAAATGAAAGTTTTTGAAATCAAAAATATAATAAAAAGTAAAGTAATAACAAAATTGGCAATAAAAATAATAAATTATATAATATATACTATATATTATGATAATAATAAGAATATTTTTTTACAAATAATGTAAAATATAATGTAAAATAATAATAAATAAAAAATAATAGATAGTAAAATAAAATTAAATATTCTTTCTGAAAGAAAAGGAAAAAAAAATATTTTCTATATAAAAAAAATTAAAATCATACGTTTATAATTTCGTCTGTAATTTAAAAATTGCGATATTGTAAAAAATCGATTATATAACAGCCATTTTTTTCAAATTTTTTAAATCTAGAATTTTAATCGACGATCAAAACTATTTGATAAAATTTCGATGAAATAATTTTAGAAAGTCGATTATATTTTAAGACATATAAACATAAAAACTATCTTTTTCATGTAATTTTTTAATTTTAAAAATGATTCATAAGAAATCTAGATGAAATTTATTTTAAATAATTTTTTGAAAATAATTATTTCAAAAAGCACTAATTATATATTATTTAAAAATGTATTTTAATTGTTATCATGTTTTTTATTTCGTCAAATAAAAGGATTTAAAGGAAGACATATTAAAAATAATAAACTGAAAAATTGATTTGTGTTAATAATGTATATTTTTTAATTATTTTTGAGTATTCAAAATGTATATAATAATATTAATAAAAAAATAATTATTTAAACATTTGAAATATTAAAAATGTCTTATTTTCATCAAGATCAAATAACAAAATAACAATAGAAAACAAATAATTTATTTTATAAAATGATCAAAAATCATTTAAACACATTAATTCATGTTTTCTAAATTAAATATTTTATAAAATATATTTTATAATATATAATAATTTAAAAAATTTTTTTAATTTAATTTAAAATGTTTCAATAATTTTAATGATTTTTAATGATATAAAATAAAGTTAAACAATTAAAATAGTACTTAAAAAATTTAAATTGATAAGTTAATCTATTTTATTAATTAATATCAGTTTAATATCATCAATATTATAATTGTATTATATATAAATAATATATATAATTATATACAATTATTTTTAATATTTTTTAATTAATATTACAAATATTTCTTTTAAAATTTACAAAGAAAAATTCACATAGACTTCAATTCAAAGTAAATACAATTTTATTGATTCATATAGAGTCGTAAAAAATCAAATCAGTCTTAACTAATTAATTGGATTTTATTTTTGTTTCAGGAAAATGGTTGTCTATATTCCCATATAAGATGGGGCGAGGCTTTCGTAATCGTTTACAGTGTAACGTGCAAACGAAGTTTTCAGGAAGCTCGTGGATTGCTGAAGCAACTGGCTGATTTACGTCTGCCATCCTACTTCACTGCACTGTTGCTCGGCAATAAGAGAGATCTGGATCATGCTCGGTGAGTGTGTAGTACAGGCTATATGTCGTAAAGATTAACAACCAAGTGAATTAAAGGTCAACCGCCAAGGAGAATTATAATTTAAAATATGAATCAATAAATAATATGTCTCGAATTCTATTAAAAGTATCGTGAAAAGAAAATATGTTATTAAAGTTGAAAAAAATTGTAAGTGTAAGATATTGCGAGATAAATATCATTGATAGACTTTGTCACATTGATAAGTGAAATAATGTAAAATTAAATATGATGAAATGACTCGACTGAGAATGTTATGACTCAACTATGATATCAAATGGTAAACTGATATAAGAATAATAATAATACCAATTGATTTATTATTATTTTTATATGATATTTGACATATTTCTTGAAGTCATGAAGGCATACCTCAGTAGAAAATAAATTTATAATTTAATTGATTTGTACAAAATGAAAATAATATTTTTAAGAATTGGGAAAGTAATTTTCATTATTTTTCTAAAATTTAAAGTTTAAATTGGATTTTTGTTATTCTTACAATAATAGTACTACAGTTTTAATATTATTATTTTATTTTATTTTTTTTTTTTTGTATTTAAGTTTGGAAATTAGATTTGATTTGAATTATTATTGAAAGAATAAGAGTGGCTCTAATTTAATTCTTAATTAACTGATATAATGAATATGAATTATAATATTATAATTTCATTATAAAATTATTTCAAAGAGAATCTTATCACTATTTCTATTCTATTTTCATCATACTACTCATTTTATTTTCTTGATCTAATTCATCTAATACAAATTTAAATTTATAATTTAATAAATAAGCAGATCTTATCTTTTGTCTTATCGTCCTTCATCCTTCATTTAAATTCCTAATTAAATTTAAATGAATTTAATTGTATATATTTTTATATTATTATATAATTATAAATATATTATGTATATATAATATTATGAATATATTTATAATATTTATATAGATATATGAATCTATATATTCAATATATCTATAAATAATATAAATTTATGCAATTATATAAATCTACATAACTATTAACAAATAATGATCTCATCGATATCTACATAAGACATTATTTTTAGTATGTCTAGAATATATGATCATTAAAATTTTCCAAAGCATCAATGTCTCGTGACAAAATCAATCGAAATTATCCCTACAATTAATAGGCGATTTGAGTTTGAATTTCGTTAATAAATTGTTAAACAAAATAAATACAGTAAACAATGCACTGAATTAACGTTTCTCGTGTGCGGCTCACCGTTCCGAGTCGTCGACACACTTTTCTGGGTTTGATTGTCATTTAATTTCTGGTTTTTGTTCACGTTAACGAAAGAATCGCGTTATCATTGGTCGTTTGCTGTTTTCAACGAATACTCATTGATTTCATGATCAAACTTCCTAACGATTTCACGCTTGTCGTGTGTATTATGTGCAGTTAGAATTGTACAAAAATGTTATTAGAATAAATGAACTATTTAACGACTATTGCAGATTAGTGATAAATTGAAAGTTTTTGAATAATTTGAAAATATTTTTTTTTCATTTTTTCTTTGCGTTATGATTCGTGAAGAATTAATTAATTTTTATTTTTTTACATTTTTTCATTACTTTTCTTTTTTTAAGATAGAAAATAAAAAATATATTATATTAATTTAAAACATTATCACATTTATCGAACAATATGAACTTCGATAGAAATTAATGATACTGTTAATATTCATAACTATATTTTATATATAATGTCATGATTTAATGTACGTAATATAATACTTAATATAATTATATTTTTATTTTTATAAAATAAATTATTCATATAATAATATCTTCAATAATATTTTTCATAATTTGAAAAGAAACTATTGAAATAATTTATATAAGTAAATAAAGATTTAAGTTTTATTTTAAAAAATTTATTGATTTTTCAATAACTGGCGTAGATAATGATTATATCGTTTACTATATTTGTTAAAAATTAATTTAATTAATTTTTGATTTTTTTAGTTATTTAGTTTATGTTTAATTTTTATTTTAGTCTATTTTGAAATAATTTAATCAATTTTTATTATTTAAAAATTCGAATAGATTTTTAAATATTTATATTTATAGTGCTATATGTTGCATTTATATTAACATATGATGCATAATTGCATATATTTAGTCATTAGTATTGAATTAAATAGGTTAATATAATTTAAATATATATTAAAAATGAAAATATTTTTTAATTTTCAAAAAAGTAATAAAAATAGCAATTTAAATGAGTATTTTTAAAAATTTTTTATCTTATTATTTAAGCTACATTAGGTTTAAAATTATTCGAGATTAATTTCAAAAATCTAATAAAATCTATTTTTTAATCATTAATCATCCTAATCTATCGATAACTTTCCTCTGTATTTAAGTATTTTTATAAATTAAATTTCTATAATTAAATACAATAATTTTTCAATCCAACTTCATAAAATATTTATAATAATTGTTTTTTATTAATACATTATGACAAAAATTGAGATTTATTTCTATTGAATATCAGATAGAAATATAAATAATTGGAGAATATTTATCCGGTAGCGAAAATCTCGAACTGATTTTTCTTTTGAGTTCATTGATCACAGACAATGTTACTCGAAATATCTAACGGTTTCGATGATAGCAATACATTTACTCAGAGTATTCAATACTTCTAGTTTATAATGTAGATGATAATTGTGCTAATATTTTAATTTTTTTATAATTTTTATTGTTAAATTTGAAAAACAAAATTAATAAAAATTAAAGGAATTTTTAATTTTTATTGTATGATGCTTTGATTTATTTCTATATTTATTTCAAAGTCTTTTGAATGATTAAAATTCTGAAAAAAGATAATATATTCTATTGTTCAATATAGTGTAGATTTTCAAGTTAATTGTTAAGAGATTTTTTTCAACAATAATTTTTTCGAACAAGCAAAATTTCGAATAAATTTTAATTTCATTCTTCACGGGATGGAATGGAATACTCTCAAAGAAATCGAAGTATAATGAATTCAAGAGTACTATAGAAGGTTAATTTGATGCTTTTTGTTCCTGTCATCCATAGACATTGAAACGTTGCATGGAATACCTAACGGTATAGATGCTCAAGAGTCCTAGTTCGCAATTCAGGTGACAAATTACAGTCAGAGGGCTTTAAGAAATGAATATCACATTGATCTTCCTTTTTTATTTATATCGACAAACAATTTTACCTAAAATATTATATTATTATCAATAATATATTTTTATAATATATAAATAATAATCTAATTTTTATACGCAAATATTAATATAATGATTATACAAAAACTAAAATACTAAAATTATTTTTTTGAAATGTATGTAACCTATCAGAATCATTTAATCTCTTATACATATATACGCATCATGAAAATTCTTTTATATTATTTTATTTTTTATGTCAAAAAAATACTATAAAAAATGCAAGATTTATATACAGTGAAAAATTCACTTCACTATGAAATATTTGAAATATTAAATTATTTATACAAAATTATAAATTAAATCTCTATGAATCCATAAATTATTTTTATTTAAAGTTAAATTTTTTATCTTTTTCTCAAACAATATTTAATTTCAACTTTTAGTTGTTATCATTTATTAATTTATATTCCATATTCAAGATTTTAACATTACAAGTTTAATATTATAAAATTATCGAAATAAATCAAAAATAAACGATATTAAAAATTTTGAATAACAATAAAAATATTGCATTAATAGCGATATTTTTTCAATAAATTCTTTATTTAAATTAGTCTAAATAACAATTATTTCTGAATTTTATTTATTCACAAACATCTATCGATGCCTGCTAAGCACATATATTCCTTACTATATTATTCTATGATATTCTACAAATTTGTTTAAAAGAATAACAATTACTTTTGATATCTTGACAGTAGCAAAAATATTTTTAGAAGCTTTTGCATCTGACTATTTCATCTATTTATAAACATCTATCGATGGCTTACTTATATATTATTCTTCACCACACCTTATCACCATCTGATTCCTCTCTTCTCCTTCTCAATCGCATAAAATTCGTGCCATAATATCACAACTTTCTTCGATGATGACCTATTAATCTAACAGTTCACTTTCCCGGTGTGTATTAACTTTGTTGCACGCATGCAGACGCGCTCTCGCGCGTACACTTCTCGCGTGTGTCCGGTAACAGGATCTTCGCGAAACGTTTCCTAGACGAGGCAAGATTTCGCGTGCGCCACGCAATTCGCAGCCTGCCGTCCCTGTTTCTTTTTTCTTTTTTCTTTTTTTCACCTGCTCTCTCATCACGCCTCCTCTCGCGTGATCCACACACGCACATTGTCTATCCACAGTGACTTGGATCCGTGCCTGGTGGCGTGAAACGCGAAACGAGGCGCCACACCGACCGCACTCTCCGACATCAGAGACCATTTCGAGCACGACACCCGGTAGTGGTCGCGATTGCTCGCTCATCTAGAAACTGTTCACGCGATCTTCGCCCGGACATCGATCTGTTTACGCGCGCGAATCGTCCAACGATCGGTTGGCCGACTTGGACGAGCGAGTTAGACGTGTTCCGATCGGTGGTCTATACCAGCGGACCGATTTAGACCCCGGATTCTTCGCTTGTGGATCGAGACCTCTGAGTAGTTGAATGGTTGTCGACTCTTTTCAGATGTTGCTGCATCTTTGCAAGAAAGAGGTTTAAGATTTTTTTCACTAGTTTGCACTAGTTTGCACTTCTTTGAGATATTCTAAGATGTATAAAGTTGTATTTGAAATATTTTTAGACGTATTTTATTATTAGATATAGGCATAAAATGAAAGTTTGAGTGATAATCATTAAACATTAAACATAAGTGGAATTTAGATTCTTCATTTATAGAATTTGGATATTTAAATACTTTGGTGATTATATATTTTTAATTAATCATCATAATATCGAGGGGTATAAGTATCTCATC